ATGAAACGGAAGCTTCTTTAGACTGCGTAGGTGTGGCTATGAGAGAGTGGCACAGCTGAAGGCACCTTCCGGGGTGAGCAGTGCTACTTTAGCACCTTCCTTGGTGTTGACTGGTGACAACATCAGCCTCACAGATAATGTTCGCTGTGTTGGCTGTGATTCACCAGATTTTCAACAGTTTGGCTGCATTAGGGTAGAGAGAAGAATGACAGACAGTAGAATAAACATCTCACTATATTAGTCTGACCCATCTGCCAGTATTGATTCATTCCTGAGAAGAAACAGCTGGCATAATACAGTTCCCATGTTGTGTAATGTAAGCTACATGCAGAAAGGTTTGCTGCCTGCCCTCTCTCTTTCCGAGAAAGTGAGGTGAAGTTTGGGATTATTCACACTATTAAAAACACAGAAAGTTTCTATTATGTGTGACTGCAAATTTTTCTTTAAGACCTGCATTTATAATAACTGAAACTAAAATACTAAAAGAAAAGGATACAGAAAATCTCAGTTATGTAATAGTGCTTTTCTTTGGGGATGGTATTGTCCATACTTACCTAGAAATTTTTTTTCTATACAGAGTTCATATAGTAGTAAAAAAAACAATAAACAATTTAAACATTTTTTTTTTAAAATCACTGTTGTGCAATATGCTTCTCTGGATTCAAAACTTGTCTTAACCCAGTCACAGGTCATATCCGTTGTCCAGTTAGTGATTTTGAGTGCATATTGTAATTATTTGTTTGGCTCGAGTCAAGGGTTTTCCCTTTGGCTCTGTAGGTGTTTTGGGTACCCAGTATGTGCCTTATTTAGTTCACCCATTATCCACACTGGTTTTTGCCTTTTTAATGTTGATAGCAAAGTTGTCTGCTAAATGCCAGGTTTGTTTTGTGCGTATGGATGTATTGCAGAATGCTGAATCTTTTCATATAATTGTCATACTTTGATACTTGAAGGAATTGTAGAATAAGCAGTAGACTTTTTTTTTTTGTGTGTGTGTGGTAAAGCAAGATAAAAAGAACTTCATTTTTGAGATAAAACAGGATGAGAAACAAAGAACATCTCGGTATCTGTCACTCCATCTACGTGATGCTTCTATCCCAGAATTATCAGAACTGGTGTTGCTCACAGACAAGGCCTGTAAATCATTGTCTATTAATGAAAAATTTTGGCATAAGCAAACAGCAATTTGCAGCTTTCATCATGGAGATATGTCATGCATACTGGATTGTAAAAGTAATCCTCTTGTATTTTCATTTCCAGACATGATATCATGATATTTTTTATATTTTTTCTTTTTTTCTTTTTTTTTTTTTTTTTTTAACTGGGAAGAAAGCATTTTAAGGAACAGGGGAAAAAAAAATAACCCATTTTAAAATTCAGTGAACCCACTTTAAAATTCAGTGTTCAAAATCATATACTTATGAACTGAAGTAAATTCATAACACTTAAAAATATTTGGCACAAGTTAGCATACTTTGCTTTTTCCCAGTGAATAACAAGTACAAGCAGTTCTTTCTGCCTGCCTATTTCACCAGGGAGTTAGCAGTATCAGTTCAGACAGGCTGAGAAACATATGATTTTATTTTTTTTAATCCACACTTAGAGTTAATTAACAAAACCATTTTATGAACAGGTTCCAGTTGTGATCAGTTACTGAGAAAATAGTACCTTGAAACAGGTGTTTTAAAACTAAGAAAATCAAATATTCAAGCAAATACCTATAATACTGTCCAGGCTGATCAACTTAATAAGTATTTTTGACATTTCTACTTAAACTACTTCTCTCAAGATCTACACAGGTATAAACTTAAAGATAGGACAGTTTTATGTGGTATGGCAAACTGGGGTTTGCCATGTCTGTGTTAAGGTCTCAAATTTGCCATAGGCTTCCTGTGTGACATTGGTCATGTGATTCAGTATTTCTGGGCTTTATTCTAGCTATGTCTGTTTATGAAAATTATGTATTAGTGATCTTTTTCTTCCATTCTTCAAATGTCTTGTTTATTCTCAGTAATATACTTTGATGAGATGTGATATTTTCATGTGGGCTGAAGGTGATAGAGTAATGATAAACTGCGCTTGCAGTCTGTGAAATTGCACAGAAGTGAATTAGTCTATATTATTTAATTGTTGGACATTCAGTTTTTCTGTTGTATTAACAAAGTGCTCTGGTTTTCAAATGACTTGGGGACTATCATAATTAGTGTTAAGATACTGTTTCTTAATGTGCAGTGTAGCATGAACTTTTCTTAGGTTACTCTTAGTAGAATCTCACTGCCCCCAAAAGGCATACCGATATGTTTTAAAAATTGGTGCTTCCTGAGCTTAATTCTTTAAAGTTGTCCTAGTTCATCTTGAAATACATTGTGAAATATTTTACACTCCCTTTTTTCCTAGGTGTTGTAATAGAAGTTAAAAAAAATAATCTGTTAAATAATATTAATTTTTTTTTTTCTTTATAATTCATTTGCTTTCAAACATAACACTGGAACAGCTGGGTAATATCAAAGTCTGTGTTTCATAAACACAGACCAATTCAATTCCGTCCCAATTTGTGTGACAGACCTGACATCTCTGATTGATAGATTTGGAGCATGGAGAATGCAGGAACTGACATGATAGCACTCCTCACTGTAATGGCAGTGCTGTTGTTAAGCACATACTTCTTATCAGAAAAAGAAAAAATTGACAAGTTTACCCAAGTGCCTTGAGGTGAGGTGGGGATGTTTCTGGTGAAATAACTCCAGTATTTACCTGAATACTGAGTTTCTGATATGGCCTTCATAGAAGATGTTTCAAATAACACACGGAATCCATGCAAAGGATAATTAATGTGTGCTGATATTGATGCAGTCAAAAAGAGATAGATTCAGATGTATTCAGATCTTTGCTGAAATAGGGCTTCTGACATTTGCTCGAATGCTTTTTTAGAGCTGAAATGTTATTAAAATATGGCCTGTCGTTTTGCCGGAAGACTTGCAGAAGAGAGCTACTTACAAGTTATACTCTTGTTCAGTGTTCCAATAATGCAGGTCACATCAGTTAGAAATGCAATGTCGACACAGCAGGCTGTTGCAGATGCTTCTTCTCCCTGGTCTAACTATCGCTTTCATGCAGTATGTATCTTAGTAAATAGGTGAGTGTAGCTGTACAGGTAACTCAAACTTTATTGCAAGAAAGGCTGTACATAGGTCAGGACAAAGGATAAGAAGAAAAAGGATGTGTAACAAAAAACTGTGTGCATAGGATTTTCTAACATTTTAATTCAGTCCAACTTTCAGATGTAGCAAAGGACTATTTTAGGTGCATGGGGAATTACATACTGTCATAGGCGTGACTTTTAGGTGCATGGGAGCAAAGCACATGTGAGACTAACACATAAATGTGGACTTTTTTAGAAGTATATGAAAGTCTTTTTATAGCGTGGATGTGACTTTTTTCAGCATAAAAAAGGCTTGCAAAAGGTACTAAAATTCAGTCTTTACATTTTGATTAAAATTTCCTTTGATATTATCCATAATATCCTCAAGACTGGTTATTACTTCACAGATTAATTTTTACATTAATGGAAGATGAACTCTGAAGAAGATATGGGGCTCCATTATGGGAAATTAGTAAAGATTACACTGATACACAAGATCAAAAAATTGTATGATGACAAGGTAGATTTGCTGAAAGGAGTCGGATAAGCAAATTCCTCTGTTGCCCAGCTGTTAGGATCCTAACAAGTCTTGTCAAATTTGAATCTCATCAAGGAATGGCCATTAGTTGGATGTACAGTACTGATTACATAACTGTTGTGGTTTAAACCCAGTCAGGCAGCTCGTTCATTCACTCCCCCCCTTCTTTCCCTCCCCCTACTCCTGGAGGGACAGAGAGCAGAATCAAAAAGAATGCAACTCCCACAGGTTGAGATAAGAACAGTTTAGTAACTAAGGTATAACACAAATCACTGCTGCTACCACCAATAATAATAATGATAAAGGAAATAACAAGGGAAGAGAATACAACATCTCACCACCTGCCGACTGATAACTCACCCCACCAGCCTAACCAAGCACTGACCAATACTTCGTCCAACCCCGCAGTCTCCCAGCCCTTCCGGGTAACTCTCAGTTACATCCTGGGCATGATGTGCTGTGGCATGGAATACCTCTTTGGTCAGTTTGGGTCAGGTGTCCTGTCTCTGCTTCCTCCCAGCCTTCCCTCCTCCCTGGCAGAATATGAGCCTCACAAAGTCCTTGGTCAGACTAAAACATCAGTGTTATCAGCTCTGTTCCCAGGCCGAAAGTCAAAACACAGTGCTGCACCAGCTACTAAGAAGGAGAAAAATGACTGCTACTGCTGAACCCAGGACAATAACTCAACTGTAATTTGTTATTGTGGTAGCTGATAGTGTGGCTCCTAATGTTCATCCACAGAGTGTAGCATCATAGATGTGACATCCAAAAGACTGATTAGCCCAGATCTTTCCAAGAGAAGACTTAGTTCCTCCTGGCCTGCTGGAAGCAGCTGTTTCCCATGAGGTGATCATGGATATATTACAAAGCATCTATTACTGGTTATTTTTAAGGTGACTGATAGCTGTATCAATGCAAAAAAGAAGTTTTTCTGTTTGCTTATTGGAGAAAATGATAAAGGTTTCTTGGAAAATAAAAACAGGCAGTAGTATACTATTGACTAACTGGTAAATACTTATATCAAATGCTAAGTACAAACGTAAATTAAGAAGATTAAAATGTAATTTAATTTATTTTCAAAGTGGAGAATACCACTTTGATTCATTAGCATATCAATTTTAATAATGTTAAATGGTGGTGTCAATGTCACTTGCGTTATAAGTCGTAAGTATGAAGATATGTTCATATTTTACCAGTATCTTTTACCAATAAGTATTGCCAATAATGTCTGAAATATCTTGAGAGGAAAGCTGTTGTTAGACCATTATTGTAGCTTCAAATGTAATTTATTAAAATCACATCATTTATATTGTGGTGTAACTGTTTCATCACCATGAAGCTGATTGCCATCAATTTCCTGGTTTTATCTTTTTACAGTCCTACTATGTAGTCTACAGAAAATGACTTAATATATTCTTCTGCTTAAGTTTACAATCTGTAAAAGGGAAAATGGAAATTTATGTTCAGACTTAAATGTACATAGCTTATACAGAAAATATATGGATAAATGAGGAAGTAAATTCTAGTTAATTTCCTTGTTCATCTCAGTACTGAGTCTCTTATGAGCCTCATTAACTGTACAACTACAGAATTAGATGGTGCTTTTGCAAAGAGTTTACATTAAAATTTTCCAGAAGATGCTGTAAAAATTAACAGGGATTTGAGCTTCCAAATCTGTAGAAAGCTTTTAAAATTTCAGCTGCAATATTTTTTTCTTCTGCCATTACCTTTGTAAAAGCTCTTTCACCCCCCTCCTTCACCTCCAGTCTTTGTGTGAGCTCAGGAGGTTAAATGGATCTGCTATAAGCAAGTAAACTAGAGAGACAGTAATAGTTACAAACTGAAGTCTGGAGTGGGGAGGAAGCCTAATGACTTGGAACTGGTAGGAATATTCTGATAAAGCTTTCTAAAATTACTTTCTAATTATTTATCTGTAAAGGAAAAGCTGGAGCAGTAGAGAGAGACATGATTCTTTCCTGCTTTTTACAGTAGTTGCCCATGAAGTGGGAAATCAGGATTCATTTTTCTGTTTGAATGAATATTCATTTACATATTCAATGAACTCTCAGAAAAAACTAGGACTCACTGTGGAGTATCCTGTAGCTGTGTCCCAGGGGACTTCTATGCAATGTGGGTGACAGAAAAGCTGGGGTCTGTCTCAAGGCAGTGCATCTGGAGCCATGCTCTTATATCCCAAGGAAGTGTTGTTCCCTCAGCTATACCCTAGATAGATGAAGCTTTTTTATTTTTTTTTTATTTTTTCCCTTAAATTGAGAGAGGCTTAACTGGCATAGACTTCCTGGGAAGCAAGACATCAGCACATGTAAGACTTGCTTGGGGAGACAAGCACCACAACCACAAATATCCTCCCTCTTCCTTCCCTAAACTTTTAATGGTGAGCACAATGTCATATGGTCAGAGATATCCCTTAGGTCAGCTTGGGTCAGCTGCCCTCACTGTCCCACATCACAGCTTCTTGTGCATCCTTGTTAGGAGGAGAGAGAAAGCTTTAACACTTTTCAGCAACAGCCAGAACACCAGTGTTTTAGCCACAAAAAGCAAGGCGCAGCACTGTAAAGGGCTACTTCCATCCCAGCCAGACCCAGCACTTCTTTCTGTGCTGGTGCTTTCCTCTTTGAATCACAAAACTGACAGCAATTCCATCCCAAAAAAGCTTTTCCTCTGGCTGTAATTTCACCCTTCCTGTATCTCTACAGATTTTCTCACTGGTCTGTTTTAGCCACCTGAGTCAAGGTGATACATGTGGGCCATATCAGAGCCAGGATCATTGTTAAACAAGTAGTAAAGCCGCTGGGTTGGGTGGGTGCAGGAAAGGAGCTCCTAGCAGTGTTACACAGAGAGAGAGAGGGTAACACAGGTTTTTGAAATCACCCTTGCTGCAAATCAGTCTGCCACCCATTCTCTCCTAAGGTTTTAAAATAATTAATCAAGAAAGGATTAAATTATCCCTCTTCTTAACAGCTGGGTTCTTTATTCATTGTAGGACACAGTAACTTTCTCTTCCCCTTGGAAAAAATGCAGCTGCTTGTTTCTTATCATGCAGAGCTTGTAGTCCTAAAAGTATATAATTTTCAGTTCTCTAAATAAAAGATCAGTTATTATAAAAAGAAAAATAACAATCGGTATTTTCAGGTATCCCTATGCCATTATGCAGGCATGCAGATAAGTCTTCTCAGCTGGAACGTATCGGGTATAAAGAATAATCCTGTGCTTCTGTTTCTGCGCTGTGGGGTCAGAAATTGATAGGTAGACTGTTAAACTCCATAGATGCTTCCAGTTCCAAAGGCCATCTGTTGTGTTTTCTTAAATCCATCCACAAAAGAGAAGAAAAAGCAATGCGTCTACTCAAGGAATTCTCTAAGAAGTGAGCAGGAATATTATTCTCTGCTCTCTTCTTCCCAGGTAGATGTAGCAAGAGGAGCTCATTGTGTTTGTTGTGTGCAATTAGACACGTTGCTTTTGTAGTGGCTTTGGATGTGTTCTTGTGCTCAGGCAATGCACCAATGCACTTTTACTCTCACTTCAGGTTTCTGAATATTTTTCTTTTCATATTTTGAATTTCAAATAAGACTAAATATTAGTGAGCTTGGTTTTAGGCAGTGCAAGAGGGGAAAAACAGGGTAAAATTTAAGCTACAGTTCAGTTGTCAAAGTGAAGTAATAAGAGTGATATGGTAAGCATTTTTTGATGATTGTTGCAGGATATTCATCAAAAGGAGCATCAAAAGGCTGCATCAATAGGAGCATGACCAGCAGGTCGAAGGAGGTGATCCTGCCCCTCTATTCTGCTCTTGTGAGACCTCACCTGGAGTGTTGTGTGCAGTTCTGGTGTCCTCAACATAAAAAGGACATGGAACTGTTGGAACAAGTCCAAGGGAGGCCCATGAAGATGATCAGGGAGCTGCAACACCTCCCATATGAAGACAGGCTGAGGAAGTTGGGGCTGTTCACCCTGGAGAAGAGAAGGCTGCGTGGAGACCTCATAGCAGCCTTCCAGCATCTGAAGGGGGCCTATAAGGATGCTGGGAAGGGGCTCCTCATTAGGGACTGTAGTGATAGGACAAGGGGTAACAGGTTAAAACTTAAACAGGGGAAGTTTAGATTGTATATAAGGTGGAAATTCTTCCCTGTTAGGGTGGTGAGGCACTGGAATGGGTTGCCCAGGGAGGTTGTGAATGCTCCATCCCTGGCAGTGCTCAAGGCCAGGTTGGACGAGGCCTTGGGTGATATGATTTAGCGTAAGGTGTCCCTGGCCACGGCAGGGGGTTGGAACTAGATGATCTTAAGGTCCTTTCCAACCCGAACGATTCTATGATTCTATGATTGACCATGTAATAATTTGGGTTTCAGTATCCTTCACAAACTCCACAGTGTGCAATTTTCACATTACCACTGTGGAGGCTGAGACCTGCATGCAGTTATCCTGAGGCACAGGCATCGGTACAGTTCTGCCAGGTGAGCCAAAACAAAGCCTGCTTCTGGCAAAACCAGTGGGGATACTGCTGAGCTTGTTTCAACTTGGAAATCATTCTGCATAACTTAGAGCAACAACAGAGGGATAATTCAGAGATGAAAATTGATGCAGACATGAAAAACGATAAATGAGAATCCAAGGCTTTGGTGATGTTTAACATTCAAGTTTCCGTTCATGTGTACACAGAAACATCTGTATATGGTATATTAGATCAGATTACAGAGATGATCTCCATGCCAAGCTCAGTGCCTTGTTTTTTGTTGTTTTTTTTTTTTTAGATGATTTGAAGATGTTCATTGTCCATGATTTGCAAGTGTTCAATGGCTAATTCAAAATTTGAATTAATGAAAGGTGTTCTGTTAAAAGGTGTCTCATTGGTACATTACTTGCTAGTTTCATTTTTTCATTCCCCATCCTATCTTTTTTTTTAGATCTAATTGATCTTAGTGAATTACCCTCAATGAAATTATCTCTGAATTATAAGACTGTAAGTATGCCATTAATGTTTTAAGTTCAAGTATCAGCTCTTGTGATAAATCTCACAAGATATTCAAAGCTCAAGTCATTTAGCAAAGCACATGTATTTTGACTAGTACCACAGAAATAGGAGGACAGAAGCAGAGAATCAGGTGAGGAGAAACAAAGGAGACTGAAAAGCAATTAATCATTTCATATCACTGACACTGATACTTAAGTTTTGTCATTAGGAGAATGAACTTTATTAGCTGAGTAAGTAGGACACTAGAAGCTTACTTAGGTTTTAACTGGATTTTAACCTCAGCAAGTGACACTTACAAAGCTAAAAATAATTTATTTTAATAGAGGAAGTTATTTAGCCTAAAATACAGGTTTTTGTAACGCTTGAATTGCATTCAAGTTAAAGTGGAACATTAGGTAGAACTTTAAAAAACCTTCAGAAAATTGAATTTGTAGGACTTCCTATTTTTACTCCCCAGTGGTAGTGCTTGAGTGGTATTTGGGGGTTCCAGGAAAAAATGATAAATGTAGATAAATTTTATATTCTTCTGCTCAAAATAATAAAAGCAACATAAGTAGAAATTTTCTTTGAAACTCATACCTTTTTCTGACAGTTACTAGGTTATAAGAGAAAGTGGTTGCCTGTTGTACTGTTTGTAGGGGCTGCAGACAGATGATCTGTAGTGCAGTGCAGGACATACATTTTTGCTCTCTGGAAGTTGTATTGTCACATTGGAAATTAGCAGAAATTGTTTTTAAAGTTAAAAAACAATGCAAGATAAAATCTCTAAAATAGCCTAAGATCACATAGTTTGTGACTTTGTTCTCTAATAGTTGTCTGTCTTTTCCTTAAAAATTCATACTTATCTTTTTCATTCTGAAGAGCTTTGCAAAGAGTATTTCACAGAACAGTCAAAAGCTTTTTTCATGTAGGTTATCAAAAATTCCTATTACTGTCTTTTACCAAGACAGATGTTAATGGAAGCCCAACGTTTTTGCTGATAAGTTACTATTCAGGTCCATTATTTTTAATACTCTGTGACTCCTTTTCAACCAGGGAAATATGACTAATTCTCAGTGGTGACTGTACACCAGTAATTTACAGTGTAAGTGCATGATAATTCAGCTGAGCCAAAGGAATGCTTATTGTCCTTGAATCGAAATTTCAAAGTGAAGACCAGCAGCCCTCCCCATTCAGCAAAGGAAGTAGCCATGTATCTGTGTGTTTCTGGTTGTGGTCCTGGGAGCTGATGAGAAGACGACATTTTTTGTATTACCACTAGTGAAAAAGCAGAACTGTTGGCTGGTACTTATCCTTTAAAAAGATGTTTCTCTGTGTGAAAAACTTCAACTTTTTGTAGAACACCGGATGTCTTTCTACTGAGAGGAACCAAATTTAAAATACATTTTGCTTTTCCTTATCAACTCAAGCTAGAAACAATTTTAGAAATAAAGCTGATATAAAATAACTGGTTTATGTTCTAAATAGCTGACCCTCCACACTATAAATGCACAGTGATCTAATTTAGAAATAAAAATTGAACCAGATAGCTTTAAACAGTAAAATATTTCAAACTGAAGAAAAGACAGAAAGTTGTTTTATTGGTTTTTTTAATGGGGAAAAAAAGCCAACCAAACAATAGTAGTAAAGTTCACAGTAATGATATTTGCATGCATCCTTCTTTGTCTAATGTCGTGTCTGCCTTTTTCAAAGTACTGTAGTGGTTTTAGAAATCTCCCAGATTCCTGGGAGACTAAAATTTAAAATAGGTAATAAAATTTTGCAGCACAAGTTGAACTTTTCATGACCATCTGTCTTTGCCCATCTTTAGTAACCGGTTGTTTATCCAGTTTAGAATTTCAGTACATAATTATAATATATTGAGATTCTAAGTAATACCTCACCTCAAAGGTAGTTTGAAGGATAATAATATTATATTCACCATCAGTAGAAATGCCAGCAGTGTTTTGGAAGTAGCTGTATGAGACAGTTAAGTGGATATTTAGGAACGGGATTATGCAAACAATCTTCATATGTAGAAGCTACAGACTTGCCTGATATATAGTATTTTACATCAAGGCTGTGGTTGTAGTGCTCACATTGGGGATTTTTTATTTTAGATATTCTTTTTTTCTGTGGGTAATGACAAATATTAATCCATGTAAACAGTTCCTATGTATTTTAATTACTATTTGGTAAATCCTTCAGCTAATAAAGTGTGAATGAATATCTTTCCTGGAGGTCTAGTGAGAGAGAGAAAATATCTTCATCTACAAGCCAGATATGTTCCAAGGCTTGGGCTGCACCAAGCAGCTCTCTAGCTGTGCTATGGAAATAGTTATTTTTCCATAGCTGAGGAGGCTTCTTAGCTGCCAAACCTTGGGGAATTGTTTAGGGAAGATGTCAAAGATTTCACCTATCTCTTCCACTATGGAAGGTACTTGCTGTTACGGGAAGCACAAACTGTGATGAGCTGTGATCATCTAAAGTAGATTTGTATCTACAGCCTCGAAAGAGACTGCTGGATCAGACAAGGTTTGCTCTTCAAGGGAAGTGATTTTTGAGATGTGGATTACTGCCTCAGCTCAAACTGGAAAGCACTCTGATCTTGTAGTGACTTGAGCTTGTAACATTAATTTTCTAACTAAATAATAATTTTATAGCTATCTTGTATCACTATTTGTCATTGTGCTAGTTTTCTTTGCCAACACCTTAAGCCAGGGCGTACTTAATGCTCTAGCTGAATTTGCAAATTTATTTTAAAAATTCCATTTTAAAGGTATTGATTTCTCTTACTATAATTTGCAATTTGATATGC